GTTGTGTTAAACATTTTGGTTATGTCTTTTTGGTTGGAGGTTTTGTTGTTTTGCATTCACTTCATATGTAATGATTTTCTTCCCTCGTCTAATGCTGCTGCCATTCATCAACGTTGTTGTTTTTAATTGAAAATTAAGTTTTGCTATTCCTTAAGCATTGCCATCATTATATTTCTATATTGCTTCTTATTATGAAAAACTTATTCAAAACAAGCAATAATTCTAGCAAAATAAAATCTTTATCAAATATAAACAGTACAATAATAAAAATAAAGTTACTCAAAATTAGTCTTTACTACTAATACTCTTATGCAAACAAAATTCTTGCATGAGTAATCTTTTATATTGAGCCAAGCTGCACCTGTCCAAGGGTAGTGCAGTGGATTTTCTTTTTTTTTAATTATTGTTCACCCAATGCAAGGCTCAAGAGCCACTCAAAATAGAGAATTACAGAATGGGATTTTTGTCTGAACAAGATGAGAACTGCAGATTGTGAAAATATGTAAGATGGATAATAGTTGACCCTAGACTTGAAGTGGTTAAGATTGTAATGATTGGGGAAGCATCCTCTTGTGAGTCTTTTCCATAAAGTAGCAGCTCTTAGGAAGATCTCCAAGTGGAACTTGTTTATTTCTAATGGAACAGTAAGAGAATCATAATGGTTTACCCCAGTGTATATGGTATGGAGGGTCTTAGCTGCAAATGTCTGTACTAGTGGAACTATAGAGTGTAGCTTGTCAGAGCATTCAATTAATTTGTTTATGTACCATTGACATTGTGGTCCATATAACATTCACTATGTAGATGTCTGAGAGGAGGAGAATTCGTACTCTATTTACATTATTCAGACTATTGTCCTCATCCTTGTCACCATATTTATTACAGCGTTTCGGCCTTTCAGTATCTGTCTATATTTCTGAGATGAGGTATTATGTACACTATTTACATTATTTAAACTATTTTCCTCTTCTTTGTCGCCATATTTATTATAACATTTCGGCCTTTCAATATTTGTCTATATTTCTGAGATGAGGTATTATGTACATTATTTACATTATTTGAACTATTGTCCTCATCTTTGTTGTCATATTTATTACAACATTTCAGCCATTGTACACTCCGGCCTTCTTCAGGTAGTTGGAATGTCGAACTGAACCCTTTATTTCGCTCACTGGGGTAGACTATTCTAGTTCTCCGTGCCATGTTTAATGGATGTCAGTTATCAGTTATCTCCTGTTAATTCCCCTCTGAAAGTTCTCACACTCTTTTGGGTCCTGTCACTGGATCTGACTAATGCCTTTATCCCCTGTGCCATGTGCCCTTGAGATAACTGACAACTGACATCCATTAAAATATGGCACGTGGAACTAGAACAGTCTACCCCAGTGAGTGAAGTAAAGGGTTCAGTTCGACATTCCAACCAACTGAAGAATGCTGGAGCATACAATGGCCGAAGTGTTGTGACAAATATGGCGACAAAAATGAGGACAATAGTCCGAATAATGTAAATAGTGTACATAATACCTCATCTCAGAAATATAGACAGATACTGAAAGGCTGAAACATTGTAATAAATATCACAGCAATATTATTGGTCCTGATCTGGCATCTTAGTTTCAGTCAGTTTTCCACCATCATAAGGTTACCTCCCTTTGGCTTTTCTATAAATACTTTCATGGTAACTGTAACTCTTTGAATTTGAACACAGTACTAGACTGGTGATGAGGTGTCACCAATTTACACTTGAGCTGGCTAGATGTACCTATAAATTCTATCCTAACAGTTTTTTCTTGCACTTCTAGCTTGTGGAACTCCCTTCTGGCTCTATGCTTTCCAGCCAAAATCATCTGCAAATATTTAAATACAATGTCATTTACTATCTGCTGTCCTCCTGATTACTCTTTCTCTATTCTCACTCATAGGAGCAGGTAGGCTTTCCTACCGCCCGGTCAACACTCCTCCCCCTTCTCTTGGACATGAGTAGAGGCTTACGCCTTGTTTCTTGTTTAGGAAGGGGTTTCCAGTACTCTCTCTCTCTCTCTGGCCTCTGTATCTCCAGTTGCCTTGATCTATCCACTACTCTTCTCATCCTTTCTTCTATCACTCCTATCTGATCTTGCTCCAAATTTTCTGTAACCCCTTGTGTCCTAGTGGCTTTCCGCCTTGCTTGGGGTGAAATGCTTAAAAAAAAAAAAAAAATTAGCAATGTTCCTGTTTCTAACTTTTCTACACCCAGTAACCCCTTGCATCTTAGTAGACTTACTGCCTTGCTTGGGGTGAACTCAGTTAAAAAAAATGAAAAAACTATGTTGCTGATTGAAAGGTCAATGCAATACCTACAGCACTTGTATATGCAGGTCACTGTAGCAAATTGTTTTTATATCCTTTCTGGTAAAATCTAATTACTTTCTGAACATTTGCTACATAAATATGAATATCGTATTAAAATTTCATCTTGAACAGTAAATGAATTTTTTTTTAAATGATAAAATTGAAACATTTTTATCCAAAATTAAAAAGAGGAAAAGTGAATTTGAAAAAATAAATAATTTTTGATTGCACCACAAAGTACTTATTTTAAAGAAATTAACAATGGATTAAAAAAAAAAAAAATGAAAGTTTTATGGTTTCCAGCCAGTGGTTAACTGGGGCAAGAAATAACTTGTAAATTTTAACACCTCCAAAACAAAAGTACTTTCATGATGATAGAGAACCTTTTTTGCTTGTCATCAACATGGCTGATGTTAGCCTCCAAGAGAGCAACACTTTGCACTTTCTTGGGCTCATGTTTTCCACTGACAAGAAGTAGAGTAAATATATTGAATCATTTCCTGGGACTGCTACTAAGAAGGTTTGTTCACTGTATCATGCCAGACAGTTTTTCTCACCTGAATCCATCTTGCACATTTATAAATCTACTATTCATCTATACAATGAATATTATTGCCATATATGGTCTGGTGCTGCTACTATATATCTCATGATTCTTGACAAAATTCAAAGAAGGGTCTGTAATATAATCAGTCCTGACCTTGCATCTCATGTCAGCCACCATCTTCTATCTTCCTGAATCCTGTTCTTTTATTGTCCTTTTCCTCACTTTGCCTCACTAAAGTCTTTTAATTCTTTTTCATTCTCTTTAACTCCATGTGCTCTTTATTTACATTATTCAGACTATTGTCCTCATCTTTGTCACCATATTTATCACAACGTTTCGGCCGTTGTACGCTCTGGCCTTCTTCAGGTGATTCTAATGTCGAACTTAACCCTTTATTTCACTCACTGGGGTAGACTGTTCTAGTTCCACTTGCCATGTTTTAATGGATCTCAGTTATCAGTTATCTCCTGTTAATTTCCCTCTGAAAGTTCTCCACTGCCTTAACTGGGTATTGAACTCACACTTTTGGGGTCCTGTCACTGGATCTAACCAACACCTTTATCCATTGTGCAATGTGTCCTCAATGAAACATTGTGATAAATATGGCGAAAAAGATGAGGACAATAGTCTGAATAATGTAAATAATGTACATAATACCTCATCTCAGAAATATAGACAGATTCATGTGTTCTAGTGACATTATTTTACTTGGAGTAAAATGATTAAAAAAATATCTTTTTAATTGTCAAAATTTCATCTAAATTATAGAATTTAGACATTTCTGTCCAAAATTACAAAGAAGAAAAGTGATATGAACAAATATGAATTTGAAAAAATAATTTTGTTTTTGTCACACTATTAACAAAGTATTTTAAACAAATGACATTAAAAAGAATGAAAGTTTTATGGACATATAAATAAATTGGCAAAGAAAATGCAAGAATGAAGAGAAAATCAGTTTTACTTTGATAAAATTTAAGAAGCAAAATGAATATTTCTTCAGATAGAATTTCAGTCGCATTTTTCCAAATATATGCATTACTGACTTTCAATGATGGTTTCTTATTTTAGTATTTTTATTGACATAAAATAAGTCGCTTATTTTATGTCAATAAATTCTTGGCTTCTTTCGAATTTTTATCCAGTGATCAATTTGAAATCATGTATTTTATGTGAACAGAATCTTGCTGTTCCTTCAAAGGCAGTTTGCTGACTTCCAAGATAAATTTTCAATTATCTTTTTTATTTTCATACATCTGTTGCTGAAAAAAATAACTGTATACGTTCCCTTTACCAACCATGTTTTAGAAATGCCATCATAAGCAAATTATTTCTCAAATCAATAAAAAAATTTCCATTACAGTAAAATTTTATGTTAAAAGACGTGTTTTTTGCTCTCCCTTCTTAGGGGCATTATTATCTAAAAAATATATTACAATTCTCATGTTCTTACCCTCACTCTCGTTCTCCCAAACACAAAACATTTCTTTTAATTTAGCTATATAAAGAAATAAAAAAAATGTATGCATACACATCAAACATGATGAATATCTATCAATGTATCAGCAATGTTTAACCTTCATGCTCACAATATAATGGTGTGTCAAAAGGACAGTTATTCCCTTGATACTGCTATTACTGTGTGCACTTTTGACTCCTTCAGCAATGTTTGTTTTTAAAAAAACTGTGATTAGAATTTTAATAGAACCCAAACAAATGAAAATGAATTTATAAATTTTCTTCTTGGAAATTGAAAACAAAGATATAAAACACTATTAGATTGAATAAAAAAAACTTGTTTTCATAGTTATTTATAAAATGGTCAATAATAGATATTGTATTGTAGTTGGTTTACATATTTTGATAATTTTGTAATTTTTTATAAATTATTGAATAAAAAGATTTCTTTTCACATTTATTTCTTTATAAAAGGTAAATAATAAATATCAGATTTTGTATTTGATTCACATATTTTTATTATCTTGTAAATAAATATTGCTGAGGGAGTCAAAAGTGTATACAGTAATAGCAATGTCAAGGGAATAATCGTACTTTTGACACACAATTTTAAAAGTTAAACATTGCCAATCTATCTTTATATATAGGTATATATAAGGCTTAAGGCCATATCATGTTGAAACTTTGTTTCTCATAAAATCACCAAAGTTAAGCAACATTAGGCCTGATTAGTACCTAGATGGGTGACTGCTTGGGAATAGCAGGTGCTGTAAGCTTCTGTGTATGAGTGGCATAATGGATCACAGCTTGGAATAAGAAATTGGAAAGTCAAGTTCCAATTCCACTCAGGTTTGTTATATTCACTTACTTTTGGGAAAGGTATATATCCACCTCTTCTCCCCCCAGCTATGGGTTAATTAGTAGGACTTGAATCAGTAATTAATTATTATCTTAAAAAAATTCTTACAATGTAAAAATATTTTCTAGCTTTAAATAACTTGCAAAAGGTTGATAACCAATAAAAAAATATCTATCAACTTTGCCGCTTCTGAGTAATGCAAGAGAAACAAGATCTTATACTTTATCATCTTATCTATCTCAATGACATCACTGGCAATAAATATACAAACAGCTTAATTTTATTTCATTGTATGTATTATTTTCATTTCATTTTATGACATCCATGTGTTTTTTTAATCACAATTATGTTAAGATATGTCATAGTAATGTGCTGTGATGTCCTAGATTTATTAATTTACTATTGCATTAACATATGTGAGTGATTAAGTACTTATTCACAGAAAATCATGGGTACATTCTGACATACAAAAAATTGTATGAAAAGAATGCTGTTGTAAAGTCAATGACACCTATATATATATATATATATATATATATATATATATATATATATATATATATATATTGGTTAATCTAGACATACTCACAAGTATATTTTTCATTCTGACTTTATGCTCCCTCTTTTGTTGTGTACGTTTGTTTGGGAGAGCAGTAATTTTGTTAAGAAAGGTGAAATAGGGAAAAAACCTGGGTGTAGATTAATATTTGGGTAATATTTTATGGTGGCACTCTCTAGAATTTTCCTTCTGAGTGAGTTATTTTCTTTTTTATGAGTATAGCATTTTTAATATCAAAATTGTAGTTGAATTTATTTCTATGTATGACTAGTGCATTAGCTAAGTTGTTTTTTGTGAGGTCTCTTTTGTGCTCATAAATGCGCTTTTTTTTATTTCTACTTGTTTCTCCAATATATTGGGAGGTACAGTTAGTTTTGGCAATTTATTTTATAAATGCCTGCTTCAGAAATATTATTGCTATTAGTGTTTGAAGATCTTAGTATATCCATAATGGTTTTGGAAGTGTTTGTAACTATTCTAAGATTATTTAGATGGGATAGGTTATTCTGAATAGTGGACGTGACAGAGTTGGTTGGTAGTATTATGTATCTGTTTTCATGTAATTTACTATTGCAGATTATGTTATTAGTTTTGTTTCAGTTGTATATTTTGTATGCCTTTCTTCTTGCATTGTAGATGAAATGATATGGGTATTGTAGGTTTTTGAATGTGTTTTCTATGTATGTTTCTTCTTTAAGTAAATAATGGGGACTACAGATTCTTAATGCTCTTAGATAGAAACCTGTAATAATTCCAGATTTAATTTTAGAAGAGTGATTTGAGTAGAAACTATTCAGATCATTTTTGTGTGTAGCCTTTCTGTAAACATCAAAATTGAGTTTGTTATTATTTCTATGTAACAAAATGTCCAGGAACGGAAGAGTGTAGTTGGTTTCAGTTTTGAAAGTGAAGTTTATTGTAGGTTCAGTGTTGTTAAGTTTGGAGAGAAGATCCGTTAAATTGATGTTTTTTGGAAATATTAATAATGAGTCGTTTATGTATCTGAAATATGAAGAGTTTGTAGGGAGAATATTTTTGAATGAGTCACTTTCTAGAAATTCTAAAAATAGACAAGCAAGAACGCCGCTGAGAGGAGATCCCATTGGTAAACCAAATTTTTGTCTGTAATGTTGGTTATTAAAAGTAAAGAAACATTGCTTGGTAATTAGTTGGCATATTTTTATGATTTTATGTGTAGATAGAGGTAATTTAATTTTTGCTTTTGTTAGGTGTTTTTTTAGTAGATTTAAGCATTTCTCTATGGCGATGTTTGTATAGAGAGATTTTATATCTAAACTAGCCATATATTTCTTTTTAATGTCTGTTTTTTAATTTGTTTAGGAGGTCGCCTGAATTTTTTATGTGTGATGGACTAATAGTGCCGAGAAGTGGAGTTAAAATTCTGCTTAGTTTGAGGGCTATTTTATGTGAAGCACTGCCTATCCCTGATATGATAGGTCTCATTGGTATGTTCAGTTTATGCATTTTTGGTCATCCATATAATATGGGTGTTTTTGGATGGTATTCAATATATATATATATTTACACACAAGAATCCCTTGATTAATGAACTAAAATTTTTTATACCAAAATTCGATTAGTACATGCATAATACTTGATTTGTATAGTAAAACTTAAAACTTTCTTCAGTAATTGAAAATTTATTTTTTATAGTTAATGATTAATTAAAAACATTTTAAAATTTAAAAATGGAAAATGGGTAACTGTTTTGTTTGTCAATTCTGTTTATGTTCAATTAATGCATTCTCTATTTGTATGTATCTTTTAATGTATATATTAGCCACACTAATTGAGGGATAATATATATATATATATACACACACACTATGGAACAAAAGTTTAGGAACACTCTTTAATAATTACTAAATTTTTGCACTTTCTTTAGTTTAGCTACTACTAGGCTACGATTTTGAAAATATTTATCCAACTTTTTAGAAAGGGTTTACCTAAAATTTAAAATCTACCAGCCATAAGATCATCATTCACCAGCAATGTAGAGTAGACAAAAAGAGATAAAATTATAAGCAAACTTCATACAGTAATGGGTTAATTTCATTGTTATTATCTGTTGTAATGGAAGAAGATCTTGACAAAGAAGAAAGGATAAGTTCTTCAGATCAGGATAATGTAACAGAAGATGAGCCTATAGATGATAACGGAAGTGATTCAGACATAGAAGATGATGAGATAAGATCAAAATCTCCATTAAAAAGAACAGGGGAAGAGGAGGAAAGAGGTTGTAGGAGAACAACAAAAGGCATTAAATCTTTTCAGTTCAGAGAAGTGTAATGGGATTGGCAAATAGTAATTTACCTATTTGCATATTTTGGTTATGAGAGAAATAAAGTATAGTGTAAAGAGTCAGATGGAAGGAAGTTGACTACCGATCATGAGTCATAAAACATTATACAACATTATATCATTATTAATGAATATATGATAAAACTCTTCAGGAAGAGAAAGTCCCTTTGGACTGAAGTGAGCTCTTAAATTAGTTTTAAAAAAAGACATGCAACTTTCAAGTTTTAGGTGATTCTTCAAAATCCAGAGAATGTTCCCAATATTTTTGGCCTACAGAGTATATTTTGGTTGTCTACCAATGTCTCAGTCCCTGTAAATGATCTTCTAGTTGAAGCAGTAATGTTGTCGGACCATCTCCACCCCACCAGTCTGCCTCTCCTTCTTTTGCCTAAGTTGGTACTATAGTGGTGTGGGGCTTAAGGGTTAAAATGAACAGTTGATTTACCCATGCCAAGAAGATTAATGGGGAATGATAATGACGAGGAAACACATGGGTAATTTTAACAAAATGAGATAAGAAATTTATTTACAAATTTACACACTTAACATTGTGTCAGTAGCTCATTTCAGGAAAATAAATCAGAAATTTTTAAAGTTCATACTTTTAACAAATTGTCATGAGGAGAAAATATACAACAGATTAAATGATCTGAAACAAAATAATATTTGAAAATGTTTGAAAGAAAAGTAAGATAGTTTGTTCCTTTCATAGAAGGGATATACAGTTGCATATGTTCAGAAGTAGATGAAGAGAGATAGTTTGAAGTACTTAGCTTTCTTAGATTGTTGAAATAAAGTTCTTTGAAGTGCTACCTGCTTGGTTAAAAGCCAGTAATATAATTGGAGAGTAATTTGACACTGGCGAAAACTTCAACACTGGATGCAGTGAACAGAAACAAAATCTTTCATGACTTCAGACACTCTTTTATTATTTAAATTTTTTTTCCTTATTTTATATCAAAAGGAATTTCACATAAGCTCACTACTTTCTTTTCTTTCTTCTTTTTGGCTCAACAGCTAATTTCTGTTCAAACAAGGTTTTCATTGGTCTAAAAGTAATTTCACATTAGCTCACAAATTTATTTCCATCTTCTTTTCAGTTCACCAGTCAATTTCTGTGAAGTCAAGGTTTTCATTGGTCCAAAGAAAATTTCACATAGGCTCATGAATTCCTTTCCATCATTTTCCTCAGCTCACCCAAATTTGAAGGAAGTGAATATCATTTCGTACTCAATACAGTACCTCATCAGATGGTGAAGATTTATTCTAGTCTTCCAGTTAATAATTATTTCCTTATGTTTCACTGATTATGAAATATTTGCAATTTTTAATTCTTTCAAGCAAGGTCTTGTTATTTTGTTTTCTTCTTCTTCATCATTATTATCATTATTTTGTTTCTTTTGAAAAGGAACGCCCCCCCCCATCAATACTGGAAAAGAGTAATAACAGCTACTGGAGTTGAGAAGCCTATTCTCCTGATAAACTGTTTTAAGAGAAAGATTTTATAAATTTCAATCGGCAGAAAGTTTGGAAGGAAACCCATATCAATATTGGAAAGAGCGATAATAGCTACTGAACTTGAGAAAACTGTTTTCCTAAAAAAAAAAAGTGTTTTAAGGCAAAGATTTTATAAATTTCAATCGGCAGAAAGTTTGAAGGAAACCCATATCAATATTGGAAAGAGCGATAATAGCTACTGAACTTGAGAAAACTGTTTTCCTAAAAAAAAGTGTTTTAAGGCAAAGATTTTATAAATTTCAATCGGCAGAAAGTTTGGAAGGAAACCCATATCAATATTGGAAAGAGCGATAATAGCTACTGAACTTGAGAAAACTGTTTTCCTAAAAAAAAGTGTTTTAAGGCAAAGATTTTATAAATTTCAATCGGCAGAAAGTTTGGAAGGAAACCCATATCAATATTGGAAAGAGCGATAATAGCTACTGAACTTAAGAAAACTGTTTTCCAAAAAAAAAAAGTGTTTTAAGGCAAAGATTTTATAAATTTCAATCGGCAGAAAGTTTGGAAGGAAACCCA